CAGCTCTTTGTTTTGCAATATATTAAGTGTATAGGATGTATCAAAAATGGTTTACACGTTCTGAAAAAAATGTGATATGATACGCCAACATGTTTTAATTACTGTAGAACCAACTTTTGTTTCCTGTTCTTCTTAGAATATAATGTGTAACAGCCAATTTGTTTATAGTAAATTCTTAAAGCCGCCTCTGTAGCCAAATGGTCAAACGTATCGCCTAGCATTGCGTTAAGCGCAAGAGGTCCTAGGTTAGAAACCAGGAAAACAAAAAAAAAATTTCGGTGTGGCAGGGCACAGAAGTCTGATCGACTACTTGCCTGTTAAAGAACCGGATTAGTGAAACGGGCACAAAAATGTGTTCGCCCCATGCCCCACGACGGGGAAACGGGATTTAAACAACAACAAATTCTTCAAGCACATTTCTTATAAAAAAAATTATATATTTAGTTATAAAATAATATTTTTCTAAAGTTAAAATTTCCTTCTTAAATTGAAGAGGCACTGTATTCTTTGATTAAAATGTTTTATTACTCGCACTATCAAAATTAGACTAAATTATCTATTTCTGAATCACCCTGTAACATATATTTAAGCAAATATAAAAAGTCGACAAAAAATGATAGTAGGTTTTAATCAAATAAATTTGCTTACGATGCTGTCATCGTCTCCAGCAGCTTTATTGAATATACAATTATCTAATAAGTGTGATACTAAGTATGTTTGTAGAAGACCAAATTACAATAAATGCACTGCAAATTTAACTCCGTTAAGTTTGACAACTTTAATATTTTTCACATATTATTGCACATGAAGGCACTATATAATTTAAACAGAAAATAAATTGTAAAAATGTTCGACTCGGGCAGGGCTTGAACCGGCATCGTCAGCATTCCTCGAGTTCGTGACTCGGTAGCTCAATTGGTAGAGCAGTTTGTTGATTTATCAATAATTTAAACAGCAATATTTCAAGTGTTTACCTACCGCCCTAATCGTTTCTTTAAGAGTCTCCTACATTATATCTTTTAAAGTTAGCTAAATAAAAACAAGTCAGGAACACAACAGAAGCAGTCATAGGCCAACTACTATATAATATTGTTTTATATTATTCTGAAAATTAACTGGTTCATTGATTCAACATTAAATATTGTCTGTGATTTACGCGAGTGTAGTACACATTCAAATAAAACACTAACTGTTCATAACGCGCTTGAATTTTTTTTTACATGAACACCCGACATTTAAAATATGTTTAACTAATGGATCTCTGCCTTTTCGCCCAAAAATTGTGTTTCCGATTATCACTTGTCACCTAACGTTTCGCAGAATGTTCACTTTGACCACTAATGACACGTTATTTGTCTTTACAATGAAGTGGAAAATACGCAAACGTTGATTGGCAAGTGATAATCGGCAAAACAATTTTCGGCGAAAACCAGGATCCCTTCACTAATATATATTGGGTTTTAAACCGTTAAAGTGTTTGATATAAATGATTCATTACTTTTATTAAAGCCGTGTGCTTTAAATAGTTAATATCAATTTTAAATTCAGGAACCTTAAAGAAGATAAAAGATTACATTAATTTATGTAACCTAAGAAATAAGTCACGATTGCCATGAAAAATACACGACACGTAAATATTTATTATGTAACTGACCTATGAAACATCTCGCATAAATAATATCTATATTTAATTAACCACGAGATTTGAATAGAGAATAAAAATCATTTTCCTGTTTGATGCTTCGTAGCTTATCTTAACTAGACGTAGGACGACGTATGTCTGTTTGGCGCAGGTCAGTTACTATATTATTTAGAGCGGTTTGACCTTACGCATGAAGTCAGTGTGTCTTTATAATATTTTATTAGACAAATCGTTAATGTCTAAAATACTTTATTAGTAGTAGTAAAGTACTTTAGTACTATAGTAAAGTTATTATATTGTGTACAATTTATAAAATCCTCATAGATTTGTCCGTAGTTTACGCGAGTAGTACACATTTAAATAAAACACTTTAAACGGTTTAAAACGCGAAATATATTAACTTATTTATGATTTTTGTATCTGCGGCAATATGTTTTGAAAGCTTTGCGCTAGCCGAAGTCCTACGGGGACTACGGATAGACTGTTCTACTGTAAAACTCAACTGTGCTATGCCAGCGCCATCTGTTTTACCGTAAGTGTACTGAATTTTATATATTTCGTGTTTTAAAACGTTAAAGGTTTTTTATTTCATTATGTTCTATTTGCGTTAACTATAGGCAATACTAAGAAAACTAAACAATCAAATACTGTCTTAAAGTTTACGCGAGTAGTACACATTTAAATAAAACACTTTAACGGTTTAAAACGCGATATATTAGTTAAAATTATTTGAAAATGGTTTTTAACTTCGGCCCGACGTTTCGCATGCTTTGCAGCAGCCGTTGCCACGGGGAGACATTTTAAAATAAGTTTAACTAATATATCTTTTGAAAACATTAATATTTTTCACATTTATTGCACATGAAGGCACTATATAATTTAAAAATCGAAAATAAATTGAAAAAATTTTCACTGGAGATTAAGATCTCAGCTTTCCGTCTGTTGCTCTACCAATTGAGCTACCGAGTCGGTAGCTCAATTGGTAAGCAACACACGGAAACGACACCGGTCAAGTCCTCAGTCGAAAATTTTTTCAATTTATTTTCGATTTTTAAATAATATATCGTGTTTTAAACCGTTAAAGTGTTTTATTTAAACTAAATAATTCTTAATTAATCAACCAGTTATTTTTCGCTGATAACTAAGAACAGTTTAATAATTAAATGAGGAGTTTTATTTTAGATAATACTTTTTTATCTTCATGGCGCGAGTCCAACTTGTTTTAAATTCGTCTTATTATCATTTAATTAATTGCCTTTTTGCTTAGTCTATAGAGATACCAGATATTGCCACTCTCCTTATCTTATCTCTATCTGAATCTACAATGACATTCGTATTATATTCGTTTATAATTCATTCATTTAACAAAAGTTCGTTTAATTAAGATTCTGAGCTAATACTGATCTGTAGGTACCTAAAATATGTTTTAGTGAGATATCAGCAGTCAAAATAAAACACTTTTAGCGGTTCGAAACGAGAAATATATTAGTTAAACTGATTTACAATTTATTATAATGACGTGGTCATGCGAGATGGTTTCAGTTATAGTCATTTATAAATGTGTACTACTTACGCAAACTACAGACATTTATTTTATGTTAGCAGGACCTGCGTTCGTTTTTTGGGAATGATAGAAAAATTGATGCGGTCAGGTACAGTACAGTACAGTACTCTATCTTCATGCAAGTAGATGATCCCTATCTACTTGCATGAAGATAGAGTCATTTATACAATATAATATAACTACCTGGCGAAATAATAAGGCAAAATACAGATTGACTTTTGAAAATAAATGGAATGCCATAATTAATTTATTTTTTATGATTGGTAAGATTTTGATATTTGACTTATTAGTCGTTTAATTATCATTTATATCAATGTGATTATATATTTTAAAATAAGCTATGCTATTAAAATAAAAAGAACCGAGTTTCGCTTGGTAACAAAACGAAAAAAAAATTACTAGAAATGTCGCCAAAATACGAAAGGCCAGGCAATGATGCTACATAATTCATTTTATTTAAATTAAATATGAAGTATATATGAAGGTGACTCGGGCACAATACAGAAATAACACGGAATCCCATTAGTTTTTTATCCAATTTGAATATTTTTCTTTATGCAATTCTATCATGAAGAAAAGAACAAATTTTCAAATAGTGTTTGCTTAGAAATTAAAGATCATTCTTGCTTAAGAGTAGATAATAAAAATATAACTCCTCATGTAATCTACGTCTATTTGTTGCACTAATCGAATTGAAGTACGCAAGTATTTGCAACAAATATCTTTTTTCAGGGCTTCAAAACTTAATAATAATCATAAGATAGGTAGAAAAAATAAAAAAGTACCTTTTTTATTCATTTGAAAGAAACAAACAACACTGCTAACAATAATTAGTCGTTTCAAAGTAGACAACACGACAACCTTGAAAAACAGGAATCCAAATTTTAATGAATTGCATTACATTCAGAAAACATTAATCTATCTATAATACAACTTCTTAGCAAGTGGTAAAGTTGAATAATTACTTAGCTCACGACTCGTCGAAAACAATCTAAAAAAAAAATGCTTTAAAGTTCTTAGTGACCTTTAAATTTTTTTGAGATAAAAAAAACTAATCTATTATAACTTTTGTCGCACTGTTTTATTTTTATACTGTGTATTCTGGATTTTTTGATTTAATTTAGCACCTGTTTTGTGTAATTTTTTGAATTGAACATTTTATTTGGGGTTGCGTTTATTTTTAAAAATTGCCCATGAAAAAGAAGAATATGAGTACCGGAAAACAAGAAAAAATAAATAAATTGATTGTCTTTAATTTAATAATGTAGTTAGCAACAATTAGTAAGATATTGTTGTAGTAGAGTAGGTCCTTTTATGTATAAAACATAATTATACCCTTTTCAGATTTTCTTCAAGAATGACTACAGGACCGAATTGTTACTACTTACCAAAGTATATTCAACAGTTAAGCGTTTTAAAACTGGATATAAATTTTTTAAAAGATTTATGCTTTTATAACTATTCACTAATGCATGTATACTTATAAAATGTATACTTCTCGCGTAAGCTATTTATAATACTTAAAAAGGGGGTACTTGAAGAAAAGAATAAAAATGTGTTAGTGCCAATCACTTTTATTGCGGAACTGTTTTGTAATCACTAATCTATCTTAAACTACATACCCTTACTGCAATACATTCTACACACTTAATCCTCTCACTTCGCTTCGATGTACTACAACAACACCTCAGAAGATTAAGTAAGTAATACCTTTGAAATAGCATCAATTATTACAATTAATTGGGATGGGGGTGGAGATGTTGTAAATTGTAATTAAAATTATTATTTAATAATCTACTTGGTGACTTTGCAAGCCTCATCTGAGAAGTCGCTGTACACCAACTTCTGGGAGTCGATCACTGGGGAGCCGATGAGGTAGTTCTCTACGGCGGTCTTAACATCTCCAGTGAGGACCTTGGACTTGGAGAGCACCCAGGCGAAGTCTGGAAAGGAGGAAAGGTGTAAGCAAACTTCTACCTACTTCATTCATAGATATACCAAATAAAAATAAAGCTATATGTTACAACTGGTTCTATCGAAGAAAACATCTTAATCAATAAATCTCAATTATTTTTTTCAAGTAGGTTCTCGTGTCAATCAAATGAGAGAAAATCTTGTTCTGTAATCTGTCTCTGTTGCAATTAATATCCGGGATCGTAATATAAACACGTTCTTAATAATATTAAAAAATATAACAACAGTGCAACGTTATCTTGTGATAAGACCCACGTTGACCCGACGTGTCTCGTAAAAGATAGGAATATTTTAGGCTATTTGCAATTTATCAGAATGTTTTGCACCAATATTTTCTTCAATCTAACCGAGGTAGTATGGAATTTTTTTCCTCTAAAGTAAAAAACGGGCATACCTGGTTATGTTGGCGCTTAAATATACAATAATAAATTACCTTGGTGTCCCTTCTTGTCCTCGTCGTATTTGCAGTAGTATCCGATGATGTAGTTCTTGGCAGAGTCAGAGGCGAGAACGTTGAAGAGGTTGTCGTTAGTTTGGCCTAAGAAATAGAGAAGATATTACGATGCTGAAAAATTCAGAACTATGACTCTTGATAAGTTTGCTGCTAAGTATTTACCTCCGTAGGAAAGCTTGTGGTAGATCTTTCCAACTTTAGCGTCACCGGCGGGCACAGCGGAACCTTCAATGTAGTATTCCTTGCCGTTGATGACGTGGTAGTTCTTAACCTTGACTCCTTTGCCGTCAGGGGTGTACTCAGCCCATCCGCACTTGCCGTACTTCTCAACAGAGTTGGGGTACTTGGCGATTTCGTACCACTTTCCTTGGTACTGTAGAGAGAAACAACGTAAATAACATCGAGATTGTTAAAATTCCAGATTGCGTTCCGTGCGTTTTCGGTTTGGTGCTTCGGAATGTTTTAATTCACAGCGGTACAGGTTTTTCAGCTGATTTCTTGATTACGAGTTAATTTAACTTTCCCTAATTAAGCCGCATTGGCTTAATGATGTTTTACGTCTATACAGTTTCGAACGTTAGCAGTTTCAAGTACTGGCTTAGATGATATAGAATTATTTGCATTATGGTTGTCACTGCGCAAAAAAATAATAAGCCGACACGGCGCGACATTTGATCCCGCTTGAAAATAGACGTGATTAATTTATTTGAATAACAAATATTGTGGATTTTTTTATGGAAGAGTCAATTAGGAACAAGCTAGAGTTGCTTTTTTGTGTCCTCTAATTTGTGGTTTGTATTTCTTTTATAGTGGAGTAAGCCAGGTTGCTATTTAAAAAAATATTATATATAATTATTTGATGATTTTACATTATTACAGACTCACCATATCGTTAATAATATAATTGTTAAAGCCATTTTAAAGGATCAGGCCAAATTGAAGAGATAACTTAATGAGAGCAATTTTGAAAATATCGCATCGCCATAAAAATGAAGCCTTGATATTCTGAGACGCGTGGTAACCAGTTTTTGGAACCAGTAAGTCTTTTTTATTTTGTTACATGATGCAGGAGATCATCGATTTGTAATTTATTATCGTAAATAAAGAGCTCTACATTGTATGTAATATAATTCAAAGACTTTCATCTTTCGCTTAATATATTTGTCTCGGTTATTTGACTATTTAACAAAATATATAATAAAATTAGTATTCTATCTATTATGCCATTTGGAATATAAAATTTTAAGATTTATAAATAATATCGGACCATTATTCCACATAACAAAAAAATCACCAAAAATATATATTTTTATTAAAAACGAATATTTAACGAGTGTCTATTAACGGTATTAACGTTTTTGCTACGAGCCTTATGTAGTAGACAAATGTCCTTCGTAGGCAGCTACAATCAACAGCAGATAATTCGAAGTTCATTAATTAAGAATTACGTTATCTCTACGCTTTGTAAAATGCAATAGGTCTCTGTTAAAAATTATCATAAATATATAAAAATTATTTCAACAAAAATTATTCCAAATTTAAACTGAGAATAGGGGTTTTATAAAATATAGTCTGTAGGAAAATAAGCAAAAATCTAACCAATAGAGATTTTAAAACTTCTTCACCCTGGCTATTCGGTGAAAAATTAAACAAAATTTCTTACGTTGGACCAGTCGAAGTTGTCTACTGGCTTCACTTCGGGGCAGGCTCCATCGTGGTACACGTTGGCCGACGCCGCGGCAACCAAACCGAGAACTAACAATTGGATCATTTTGTATGAGACGTTTAAGCGCGATTCTTGCACGGGAGCCAGCAGTTGACTGATTGATGTGGTTACAGTCCTATCCCCTTTTATACGCTAGCCGGGCAGAGGTCAGGGCTTCCAAACGCAGGTTTTAATCAGCGACACTACAACGTCTTCTGTTAATTCTAGACAAAGATAAGAGCCAGTTAGTTTTCTAAACAATTTTTTGTAGGTGTTTTTTTCGTTTCTTTCCGTGGCCTATGTTAGTTGCTACGCGGTCATTATGCTTAGAACCGCGGTCCGGGCTTCGCACGTACCGTGTCGATATATTTGAGATTACATCTTATTGATTTTTGAGAGTTTAAACAATTATTGTATTTTTTATTGAGTATGAAGTGTACCTCTAATAATGTCTTTTATTTAATGTCAGTGATTTTATTCTAAGTTTTTACGGTATAAAGCCTTTAAGCCACTAAGTGTTAATTATGAGTGAAATAAACAGTATGTATATTGTGACTTTTTAACATTCTTGTCAAGAATAAATCTATGTTCGATTTAGAATTAGAATTTGTTTGCATACAATTATGCGACGTTATAAAAACTTCTTGCATTAAATGCATCCTTTGACATTCCTTAAGAAATCTTGTTTTTATTTTATTCATTTGTAAGTATCGTGTTAAGAAAATTGTAATACAATTAGTATATTAAAATGATAATAAAAGTTAATGCATTTAATATGTTAGACATATGATTGATCATTCAATATTTAATTTATAAATACATAAAGATAAAATTAAAACTTTTTTTTGGAAATCATTTGCTGATACATATTTAGAAAAATGTTGGTGTCTCGTACCAAGATTTACAATTACTAGGCTTGAAAAACCATTTATCCGATTCCCAATTTTATATAATTTCATATTAATGCCATTTTTATAAAAGCATCTATATAAAACATATAAAAATATATTTTATTTTATTTATGCTATTAATTCGTAACTTAATCTAATTTAATGACTTTTTTCTATTAGTCACTAAATTAATTTAAAAATACACTTTATTTTACATAATGATAATCCCAGATAAACATAAGTAAGCACTTAAGTGCTAGATTAGCTCGCTAGGTTACTTAAATTTAGTATTTAAATTCTTAAATAAAAATATGTTGTACCGAAAATTGTATTGTTTAAATATAAGTAATTTACATATCCATTAAATAATAGATAAGATGGCTTTAGTTAAAAGAAACTTAAAACTAACAAACATCATCAATGATGTGTTTTCAATAAGTACTTATCTAAATAAAATAAACAATGTATTGTGGGGCATTTGTACTTTATTTAAATTATGGTTATTGTAATCTTAAGATTACAGATGTCAAAATTATAATTGGATAGTTGAATGCCTGAAAAGATAGTCAACAATCCAGGTCAATATAGTCAGAATTAAAGAAGGGGAATGTCGAAACGAGTTTTCACAGCCTGGATAAGTCTAGGTAACGTGATAAGCTGAAGAGAAAGCATGTATTGAAAATACAGTTATTAAAACGGTTCATTGTGGCTTATTGCAATTCGATTCAGTGGCATACGAGATGATATTTATATGGATCATTTATGTAAGACATTTTGTTACTTTGGCACAAGTAATAGTATACGTTAGGCTAATCAGTAATTTCTATTGAAATGTTAAACGCAAATGTAATAATTCTTAACACATTTTTCATAATTTTGATAATATTTTTGGGATCAAAAATTACTTAGACAAGATTAGATATTAGAATAAGTTATATGTTACTTTTTTAGGTTGTAAACGTTTTGTATTGGACTAATTAAACCAATAAGAATAAGAAAGAAAGAGTTGCTAAGCTCTAAGTTTTATTTTTGTGACATTGTTGTTTTGTGTTTATTGTACCTATATACAGCTTGTGAGAAATATAGACTTTATTTTGATTTATCGTGTTTTAATGTAGTTGGATTATCTTTATTATGTTATTCAATAATCCGTGAAATTTGAAGACCGCTTGTGGGTTAAGAATTAGTCTAAGGCCGATTTTTATATTAAGATCTTGAAAGAAACACAACGTGCATTTTGTTCTTCTGATATTATCGTAAACATCGTGCAAAATACGGTCATCGACCCTGTAATGTTTAACGAAATTAATAGTTTTCATTCGGCTATTTAGGCTCTCCACAGACAAGGTAAACCTTTATACATATATATAATAGCGTAAAAGTATAATTAAAATAATATGTAAGACACGATTAACGGTTTAAATTTCGAAATATATAAGGCAATGTTCAAAATATAAGTTCTTGTAAAGAAAAATTTGTTTTCGGATGAAAATAGATCTAACAAATATATTTCGCATTTTAAACCAACAAAAGTGATTTATTTAATAAGTCCCACCAGAATTATCTATAGATGAACCTAATAAACATATTAATGATCTTTTGTGTTTTATTTTAAAAGAATCTGTGTCCTCCAAAAGCCTTCGTGAATACAAAGTTAATAAGTATCTACTTTAAATAAATAAGACCATAAAATATCTATTAAACTAAACATTATTTTTGTGATAGAGGAAAACAGACAGGCATGAGATTGAATTGAGCGAAAGCGAAATACCCCAGCCTTATAACATCCAATAAGATGTGTCGTCGACCTATTATAGGGGAAACTGAAACGGATATTTTAAAGTTACAGCTTTTCCATATATGAAAAACTTTATTGAAATTAAAAAAAAAATTATAATAGATTTTGAACTGTCAAACTTAATGGGAGTCGAACCCACGACCAATTATTAACGCATTACGACCATTGGAACAACCTCTGTCATATTATACAGACAACGTTATTATAAGACACGAATAGTACATATATACCTTAGTTAGCTAATAACTTAGTAAATAATTCTACTTAGATAACATTTCAATAAGAAACTAATACCAAAGCCACTTTACTTTTATGGACAAAACCGCGACACACAGCTAGTCAAGTAGCGAGATTATAACATCATTAATATTTACTGAAGTGAAAACTATCTATTAGGTTCATTTAATGTGGTTTCTGTTTGGATCGAGTTGAAGCGGGCTATTTCAGGTTTATAGGGTGACTGACTAGATACGAGGCGTTCACCCTATCGTCATTAATAAAGAAGTGTGAATCGCTTTGTAAATAATTCATTAATATAATATAAATAACAATAATTCATTATTTTTAATTACATTTTAGATAAGCGCTGAACCTATTGCAAAGTAACGTGCAAAGCAAAACACTTCAAACTCAGTTTAGCAAAGAAATAATGATTTAATTAATACTGTCTGTAGTTTACAATAAAATAATATACTTTTAACGGTTTAAAACGCGATATATTTTGATAATAAGAGTAATAATGAGCAGCCGTGGTCTGCTCGGGTGCTATAGCATCCGAAACGTCGGGCTGTAGTTGAAATAATTTTCAAATAAGTTTAACTCATATATATCGGGTTTTAAACTGTGATTTATTTACCAACCAATTGAGCTATCGTGCTTTTCAAACCACCATGTATGCAATAATATTTGTGTTAAAGTTTTCAAATGATTATAATTTTTTGAAAACATTAATATTTTTCACATGTTATTGCACATGAAGGCACTATATAATTTTAAAATCGAAAATAAATTGAAAAATTTTTCGACTCGGGCAGGACTTGAACCGGCATCATCAGCTTTCCGTGCTGTTGCTCTACTTCGATTTTTAAATTATGATTATAATTCTTGATAAAATATAATTTAATCCAATCAATTGATACACTCGTGTAATGAACATTTAAAAGTTATGTTTTATGTCGTGTAGTTGTTTTTGGAGTTTTTATCTCGATAAATGTTTCTGATTTCTCATGTTATCTTAATTGCTTCACTGAGATTGCTTACAGATTGCTTATGTTAATATGCCATGTAAGGATACAATATTGAAATGTATATGTTATCAAACAAGGCAATTACTAAACTATTTTTCCCCTAAGAAGAAGTGGAAACTTCTTTATCGTTGTTGATTTTATTTCTTGTGTATTCTTTATTTTTATACAAGAGTAAGTTTAGGAAGCAAAAAAACTGTCAACCTATTTTGGGTTTGGAAATTCGGAAATCCACAGATTGTAACCGTATTTGTAGTTAAACGGTTAAACGAACACGTTTAACTGCTACTGCACTGCAGCCTAGCATTGTGTTAAGCGCGAAAGGTCCCGGGTTTAAGTCTCGAAGAAACACTAAATTGTTGCCGGCCGGGAGGCCTAGTTGGATCAACTACTTGCCTGTAAAAAAAAATCAGTGGAACGGACACAGAAATATGTTCGCCCATGCCCCACGATGGGAAACAGGACTTGACACCCACAGATTAAAACCGAAACGTGATTCAACTTCACGGAACCGGACGGAATTTCGATATTTCAATCATGCATTTATTTTAAATGAAACACTTTAACGGTTTAAAACGCGATATATTAGTTAAACTTATTTGACAATGATTTTTAACTTCGGCCCGACTTTTCGGATGAATTGCAGCAGCTATCGCGTTTTAAACCGTTAAAGTGGTTTATTTAAATGTGTACTACTCGCGTAGACTATAGACAGCATCCATTGAATGTCCAGATTTCCAGACGTAGTCCAACATGTTTCAGAAAAAAATTAAATTAATTAGAAAAAGTTCGACCGGTGAGGATCGAATCCACGACCCGTTGATTATTAGCCTTACAACGTGCCAGTCTTAGCCGATTACCTATTGTATCAATACTAATATTTTCAAAACGATTATGTTAATATCACAATAGTTATTGCACCTAGCAAAGTCAGTTAATAATTAAAACGTAGATAATTGGACTTGTTTATAGATATCTGGTCATAAGTTTGTTGAAACTATGTATTAATTATAAGTAAAGAACGTGTGAAAACCGTGCTATTATTAATATTTTAATTTATTACTATAAAACTCTTCTGCTTTACTGCTGGGTATTGGTTTCTCTGTTTGAGCAGTTGTTTTCCCCCCAGGGCCC